TCAACAATAATCCCATCAAGTGCAAGAATTTTTGGGGTAATCTTTGATCTAGCTCACCTTAAAATACCACATTGCAGGGCAACACGGTCATGGTTTGCACTGGACAACATCAGGAAGATTAGGCCCGAGCATGCTGCACAACTTCTCGTCCAGGCCCTGGTCATTTCTAGGCTGCTGGACTATTGCAATCCTCTTCTTGGCTGGATGTCCATCATATGCAATCAAACCTCTACAAATGATCCAAAACACAGCAGCAATACTAGTTGCCAGTGAGCCCTCATCACACCTCCGTCTATCTCTCAAGTCAAGTCAAGTCATCTTCATTTATATAGCGCTTTTAACAATGAATTGTTTCAAAGCAGCTTTACAGAGATAAACATATAATTTAAGGTAACAGATTGTTTTGGCGTTATAGCGGTTCTTGAATAATGTTACTTCCAGCTAAAGTTAACTTTGATTGATTCACCTCCGTCGAAATGATCAGACTTTAAACGCGAACCTGTGATTAACGCTGACGGCGTTCACATGCTCATTCAGAATTCTATAGTTATGTGCTTTTTAAAATATGTGTGCAGGTTTGTAATTCATACAACCCAGCCTAAACAAACTACTTTTCTTGCCTATAAATTTTGATACAGAATTTTGTTTTATTTTATCACTTCGGGGTACGCGAGCCGGAATTCACAGCGCTTTATCTGTAGAGTGGGAAAGGGATCCTCCATAGGGAGAGGATAGTGGATACTTCAGCACTGCATTGTCATCGGGTCCAGGCGAATCTCCTTCGTCAGATCTGGACACGGCCTGGATCCGGCAGGCTGCGGGAAAACCTCGGGATAAACAAAGACACTAATATTAGCGTAGATGCCATTCTTCTTATGATGTAGCGAGTACATCAAGATTTAAGGGAAGTGTTCCCAGTTCCGGCTGACCTAATCTATGCAGCCTAACATTGAATTTATAGAAGTCTATAATGTATTATGTGTATGCTAGGTCAAAGAGATGTGTTTTTAGTCTAGCTTTGAACTGACAGAGTGTGTCTGCTTCCCGGACAATGGTAGGAAGACTGTTCCAAAGTTTTGGTGCTAAATAGGAAAAGGATCTACCGCCAGCAGTCGATTTAGATATTCTAGGTATTATCAACTGGGCGGAATTTTGAGATCGCAATAGACGTGAAGGACTATAATGCGTTAAGAGCTCGCTCAAGTACTGCGGAGCTAAACCATTTAGTGCTTTGTAGGTAATCAACAATATTTTAAAATTTATACGATGTTTAATAGGGAGCCAATGCAGTGTTGACAGAACCGGGCTAATATGGTCATATTTCCTGGTTCTGGTAAGAACTCGAGCTGCGGCGTTTTGAACTAGCTGTAGTTTGTTTATTAAGCGTGCAGGGCAACCACCCAGTAGAGCATTACAATAATCTAGCCTTGAGGTCATGAACGCATGGACTAATTGTTCCGCATTTCCCAATGAGAGCATATGGCGTAATTTAGATATATTTTTAAGATGGAAAAATGCAGTTTTACAGATACTAGACACGTGGCTTTCAAAAGAAAGGTTGGTATCAAATAGCACACCCAGGTTCCTAACCGACGACGAAGACTTGACAGAGCAGCCATTAAGTGTTAGACAGTATTCTGGGTTATTACGTGTGGAAGTTTTTTGTCCAATAATTAGAATCTCTGTCTTTTCAGAATTTAGTAGTAGGAAATTACTAGTCATCCAATTTTTTATATCACCTATGCATTGCGTTAATATTGTGAATTGGTAAGTTTCGTTGGGTTTTGAAGAAATATACAGCTGAGTATCATCGGCATAACAGTGAAAGCTAACTCCATGTTTCCTAATGATATCTCCTAATGGTAGCATGTACAGAGTGAACAGCAGCGGTCCTAGTACTGAGCCTTGTGGTACGCCATACTGAACTTGTGATCGATAAGACATCTCTTCATTTACTGCTACAAACTGATAACGGTCAGTTAAGTATGATTTAAACCATGCTAATGCAATTCCACTAATGCCAACATAGTTTTCTAGTCTATTTAAAAGAATGTTGTGGTCAATAGTGTCAAATGCAGCACTAAGATCGAGTAACACTAATAGAGAGATACAACCACGATCGGATGATAAGAGCAAATCATTTGTGACTCTAATGAGAGCGGTCTCAGTGCTATGGTACGGTCTAAATCCGGACTGAAAATCCTCGCAGATATCATTTCTTTCTAGAAAGGAACATAGTTGTGAAGATACTGCTTTTTCTAATATCTTTGACAGAAAAGGCAGATTCGAGATCGGCCTGTAATTGACTAATTCTGTAGGATCAAGTTGTGGTTTTTTAACAAGCGGTTTTATCATAGCCAGTTTAAAGGTTTTTGGTACGTATCCTAGAGACAAAGATGAATTAATGATATTAAGAAGAGGATATATGACCTCTGGAAACATCTCTTTCAGTAGCTTAGTCGGTATAGGATCTAACATACAAGTTGTCGATTTAGATGAATTAACGAGTTTGCAGAATTCTTCCTCTCCTATAGCAACAAATCAATCAAATTTTTCCTCAGGGAGACTACAATCCACTTCCTGATGCGATACTGTGGTAGACGGTTGCATAGTTATAATTTTGTCCCTGATATTATCAATCTTATAAGTGAAGAAGTTCATAAAGTCATCACTGCCGTGTTGCTTTGACAATTCTGAGCTTGAAGCTTTCTTTTTCGTTAGTTTAGCCACTGTTTCAAATAAATACCTAGGATTATGTTTATTTTCTTCTAATAGGTTTGAAAAATAAGCAGATCTAGCAGCTTTTAAAGCCTCTCTGTAAGCAATTGAGCTCTCTTTCCACGAAATCCGAAATACCTCTAGTTTAGTTTTCTTCCAGTTGCGCTCCATTTTTCTGGCTGCTCTCTTTAGGGCCTGAGTGTGCTCGCTGTACCACGGCGTTGGACTATTTTCTTTAATCTTCTTTAAGCGCAACGGAGCAACTGCGTCTAAAGTGCTGGAAAAGAGAGAGTTAAACGTTTCTGTTGCAATATCGAGTTCTTCTAAGCTATCTGGGATGCTGAGATGATGAAACTGATTAGGAAGATTATTGATAAAGCAATCTTTAGTGGCAGAAGTTATAGGTCTAACGTATTTATAACACGGAGTCGGCTTTGCAGCCTTGGCTAAATGTAATTTACATGAGACTAGATAATGATCTGAGATGTCATCGCTCTGCTGCAGAATTTCAACAGCATCAACATCTATTCCATGTGATAATATTAGATCTAGAGTATGATTACGACAATGAGTAGGTCCTGACACCTGTTGTCTAACTCCAATTGAGTTTACAATGTCTTTAAATGCCAATCCCAAAGCATCTTTTTCATTATCTACATGTATATTAAAATCACCAACAATTAGTACTTTATCTGCAGCCAATACTAAATCTGATAGAAAGTCCGCAAATTCTTTGATAAAATCTTTATGGTGCCCTGGTGGCCTGTACACAGTAGCCAGCAGAATTCTCAAATGTGATTTATCGTTTACACTATATATTTTTACATTAAGCACCAATACTTCAAAAGAAGTATATTTAAAGCTACATTTCTTAGTGGTTTTGAAAATATTACTATAAATTACAGCAACACCTCCCCCTTTGCCTTTCAGACGAGGTTCATTTTTATAACTGTAATCTTGTGGGGTTGACTCATTTAAAATAATGTAATCGTTTGGTTTTAGCCAGGTTTCTGTCAAACACAGCATATCAAGATTATAATCTGAAATCATATCATTAACTATAAGAGATTTTGAAGTAAGGGATCGAATATTCAGCAACCCAAGCTTTATCATTTGCTCATCTGTATTATATCTGTTTTTTATTTGTTAAACATCAATTACATTTTTAACCTGACGTTTTTTGGATTTCCAAATTCGGGGAACAGACACAGTCTCTATATGATGATCTAGGTGAAAGAGGCTCTATGTGATGGGATTTATCTGACCTTGGTGACGTGAGGCCGCTAGCAGATGGTCGGTTTAGCCAGTCTGTCTGCTTCCTGACCTGAGCCCCAGATTGTCATGTTTTAGCTCTAAGACTATGAGCCAAATTACTAGAGAGAAGAGCAGCACCAGCCCAGGAGGGATGGATACCATCTCTTTTCAACAGATCAGGCTTGCCCCAAAAACTTTTCCAATTGTCTATGACTGCACTGGCATGGGAGGCTCGCGCGCTAACAAGGACGCTAAAGAACGTAGCATCTAGTGTCAGTCACTAGCGTGTCTCTTGAGGCCAGGAGAGTGAGGTTTATACACACAGCTCTTACTGGCCTACGTAACACGGGCTCTGCACCCTCCTACCTCCGCCAGCTCGTAGGAGTCTACATCCCCTCCAGAAGCCTGAGGTCGGTAGGTGAGCGACGCCTCGTGGTACCTTCACCGAGAGGAACAAATGTAAAAATGTCAAACCAGGCAAAAATGGCTTGCCTTAGCTGGTTTAAGATTTTCCCCCCAAACTGGCCAAGTGAGTAATCAGCAACATTGTCTCTCATCCCAGTGGCGTAGGTTTGATTTTGAAATTGGTGGGGACGGGGACATCAATATTTAATATATTTAAAGTTTTGATCGAAAATATTGCTAGGAATATATCAGTGTCACTGGATATTGGTAGGGACACGTCCCTAGCGTCCCTACTAAATTCTACGCCCCTGCCTCATCCATTCCTGACCAGCTATAGCTAACACTGTAAAAGTAAACCAGCAATTAATTCAAGAGTGCTAAATTGACTGCCCAATCGAGAAGCAACCTCTCCTAAAAAATAATTGTTACAACAGTAAAAGACAACACCGCAATCCTAGACAGTTAATGCACTGTTAACTGTCTCCTTTTTAACCATATTACACTGTCAATATTTTAAGTCTACCTTCCAAGGTTCCACATTCAGTTTCGAGGCACTTGCTTTGCGTCCCCTAGTGGCCGGAGTTTTTTTTTTTTTTAGTGTGTTGAAACCACACCTCCAGTGAATGAACTAACCTCGTGCACAACAATGAGGAAGTGTCAGTACGGGACGGTGCTGAATTATAGCATAGATTTAACCGAATGTTGCCTTTAGAGTCAGACCGAAACTTAGATACTATGTCTAATTCTTCTAATTTTGTAATAAGGAAATATTTAACCTTTTTTAACACCTTGTAAAAAGCATGTTTTATTTAATCTTTGCAGCGTGTATACTGTCAGCCCCTGTGTTTTCTGAATCGGGTAAGCAAGATCACTCGTACAGTTTTACAGCACTAACCCTAGAAGCACGTTTTCTAGTTCCTTATTGTCTAATAATTGTCATCTGAAGCTTCTAATTTGAATGCTCTGCACTCTCACCTTCAATTTTTTTTACATTGTCCTTGTTACACGTTACATGTAGTGACTAAAGTATAACTACAAATTATGCATAATTAAATGCAACTAATAGTAGGGAGGTTAAGTGACTTTTGACTTCAAGTCATGATGCAAAGGTCCCCTTTGGTATGGAAGTACCTTAGGGCCATAGAAATAAATTTATCCTAAGACACAAGTGAGATCACATTTTGTATCTTATATACACACATTTTTTAAAAATGGCCGCCGACCATACTTGAGAGGCCCATATCTTTGCTTCTGTCATAGCTATAATGACAAATTTGGTATCAACGGGTACATTTTTGTGGTCAAGGAGTCCAATAAAATAGGTTCCAAGACTAAAAAACAATAATGTTGTCCTTAACATGACAATTGGAGGTGAAGTATGCAATTTTTTATTAAAAAACGCATGCCAAACACACAGTCCATTCACAACTTAATAATTTCTTCGTTTAGGTCTGCTTCGCATGCGCCCTTTACAGCACTGGCTGAAGACGTGGGTCCTGCGTCGAGCATGGGCATCCGGTCGTTTACGTCTCAAGGTAACTCAGAACTGTGTCACAGCTCTGGAGCCCTGGAAGGCGGTCGACTGGTATCAGACAGGTGTAAACCTGGGAGTAATCTCTAAACTGATAGTGGTTTCGACAGACGCCTCCAATTCGGGCTGGGGCGCCCTCTATGAGGGCAGACCGACTTTTGGCCTGTGGTCAAGCCAAGAAAAGAGCTTGCACATAAACTGTCTAGAGATGAAGGCGGTCGAGAACGCCTTGCGGTTCTTCCTTCCCCTTCTAAAGGGCCACCATGTCCTTGTCCGCACGGACAACATGTCGGTGGTTTCCTACATAAATCGCCAGGGCAGTCTGAGATCACGGAACCTTCATGCACTGGCAGAACGCATCCTTGTATGGGTTCAGCACCCATCACTGGCCCAGCCCATCACTGGCCCAGCCCATCACTGGCGGCTGGGCTGCCCATCACTGGCCCAGCCGCCCTCTCTATGCTTTCCCTCTGATCATGCTGTTACCACAGGTAATCAAGCCTATAAGGGAGAACGGTTCCTGTGTACTTCTAGTAGCTCCGTTCTGGCCGAACCAAGTTTGGTTTCTGGAGCTGATGCAGCTTCAGAGCTTGCCTCCGTGGCCTGTCCCATTGAGGAGAGATCTCCTCTCACAGGCCGGGGGTACGATTTGGCACCCACGACCCGAGCTTTGGGCTCTGCATGTGTGGGCCATCAACGGGTACCCATCAGTCTCCCCGACGGAGTGTTAAACACGATTACGCAAGCTAGAGCGCCCTCTACTAGATGGCTTTATGGTTCCAAGTGGTCAGTGTTCTCAGGTTGGTGCTCAGCTCGCAACCTGGATCCACAAGATTGTGGGGTGTCGGAGGTTCTCTCCTTCCTACAGGAGCTCTTGGATAAGGGTAGATCCCCATCCATGCTCAAGGTATATGTGGCGGCTATTGCTGCGTTTGTCAAACATTCGCATGGCCAGTCACTGGGTAGGAACGACCTTGTAGTCCGCTTCCTCAGGGGAGCTAGAAGGATGAACCCTCCTCGCCCCCCCTCGGACCTTTCCTTGGTCCTGGAGGCCATGAAGGGTGCCCCTTTCGAACCTCTACAGTCTGTGGACCTTAAGTATCTCTCATTGAAAACCGCCTTTCTGGTGGCTATCGCCTCAGTCAAGCTGGTGGGTGACTTACACGCACTTTCTGTTAGTGCGTCGTGCCTTGAGTTTGGGCCTAATGACTCCAAGGTCATCCTCAAACCAAGACATGATTATGTCCCCAAAGTACTTGCCACTCCTTTCAGAGCACAAGTCTCTGTGGATCTGACAGCGAGTCTGACATTCTCTCGTCACAGGCGATTTTTGAGATTCACCTTCGAGGGCCAGGCATATCAATACACAGTCCTACCGTTCGGCCTGTCCCTGGCATCCTGTATATTATGATGTACATGGACGCGGCTCTCGCGCCCCTGAAACTTCAGGGAATGCCAGCTTTGAACTATTTGGACGATTGGCTGATTCTAGCTCGATCTCATTCAGAGCTCATAGAACACAGGACCATATTACTCGAACACCTCGAGAATCTTGGTCTCACAGTCAATTGGGCGAAGAGCCAGGAAATATCCTTTCTGGGCACAGAGCTGAACTCGCTGTCAATGACAGCGCGACTATCGCCAGAGCGCATACTGAACATTGCGGCACTATAGTCCCGCTCAAGAGATTTCAGAAGATGCTGGGCCTCATGGCCTCATCATCATCAGTACTCCAGCTGGGTCTGCTTCGCATGCGCCCACTGCATTGGTGGCTGAAAGCACGAGTGCCGTCTCAAGCTTGGGCCTCCGATCTGTTTCGCCTCAGGGTCAATCAGAAATGCGTCGCAGCTCTGAAACCTTGGAAGGCGACCGACTGGTACTGGTACCACCGCCTCTTCAATCTGACATTCTCTCTTCGGATCTGACAGCGAGTCTGACGTGAATCTCCTTTGCCTGGTTAGGGCCCTTGGAACGTTCGGCTGCTTTCAGACGGTCAGGACAGCTATTTGTTTCGTTTGGTGGCCGATCTAAAGGTCTAGCTGCCTCGAAACATAGCCTTTCCAGGTGGAAAGTGGACGCTATCTCACTGGCTTATACATCTAAGAGCCTTCGTTGCCCTCTGGGCGTCAGAGCTCATTCCACTAGAGGCATGCCTCTTCATGGGCCTGGTCCAGTGGGATTTCCCTTCACGATATCTGTATGGCGGCAGGCTGGGCCTCTCTGTCTACATTTATAGGGTTCTATAACCTGGAAGTTCCCGCGCTCCAAGCTAGACTGTTGTCAGTTTAGTTTATCCGCTCAGTTCTGCCGGACTCGGTTCCGCGGACTGCAAAGTTTTCAGTTCAGGCAGGCTATTGCCTCCCCTGACTGTTATACCGTGTTAAGCACCCTCTATGCATTTAAGGTAACCACGTTTACCTTATATCATTCTTATTAAGCCCATTCCCAATGTCGGCTTTTTATATCCCCATATCATATGAACTCAGGGCGCTCGCCCTTGGGTCAGTGTTGTGGTAGATTTAGCACGCACGGCGTTTTAAATTGGATTCCCGTAGCGTAAGCTAGCTTACGCAACACGAGAGTACTCTCGTAAGAGAACGTCACGGTTACTAACGTAACCTCGGTTCTCTCTAGAAGAGGGAATGAGTGTTGCGTAACCCTGCCGTGCTTGTGCTACCATCTGGTTTCGCTTCAGTCGATGAAAACCAAGGAGCATCTTATCGAGCTCTGGCTTATATAGGCATAAGCCACGCCCATTCGCCCACTCATTGGTGCTTACGTCACGAGCAGTGCCTCGATAGGTTGCAGCAGTTGCCGCATAGCATCCAATAGGCGCGCGAGCTGCCTCGCCTAGGTCTGCTAGCTGCAGCAAGTGTGTTTTAAATTAATACAAATTATAAGGATAATTTTTGGCTTCAGTATTCTCGAGAAAAGAGGTTTTCCCTCTAAGGTTTTTTTTTCCATAGTCAACTAGCTAGCTATTTATTAGTTATCTAACATTAAAAAAAAAAAATTATTTAATGAGAAAGTCATACGAACCTCAAAGTGTTAACCTGTCACCTCTGACCTTCAACAGCTGTCACAGCTCCTGGTGCAGATGGGATGTGTTGTTGCAGGAACTGATATGCTATAGGCTACTCCTGACTGGTCGAAATCTCATGCTACTTAGGACAAATGTAATGTACAGAAGTAGCTGCACTGCTTAAATACAAAATTAAAGTTTTTGAACGAAAAGATAAGTAAAGTCACTCTGATGACAATTTTTATGTGAAATGTGCATATTTACCCCCAATTGTCATGGTATGGGGAAAATTATTATTTTTTTAAACTTGAAACCAATTTTATTGGATTCCTTGACCCCAAGAATGTACACTTTGACACCAAATTTGTCATTATAGCGATAACAGAAGCAAAGATATGGGCTCTAGAGTATTTTCGGCGCATTGGCGGCCATTTTTGAAAAAACATGTTTATTTCTGATACAAAGTGTGATCTCACTTGTGTCTTAGGATAAATTTATTTGTATGACCCTAAGGTACTTCCATACCAAAGGAGACCTTTGCATCATGACTTGAAGTCAAAGGCCTATTTTTTGGGCTTAACCTCCCTACTATAACCCTAAACCAAACTAACGCTTTAGTAAATAGGCCTGCTTGTAATTAATTATTATAAGCCTACTCAGTACTTAAATGTATAATTAATTACACTGTAACAAGGTAACCTTACAGTGTAACCATCATCTCTGATCTAATAGGTACCCTAACTCGGTTACACTTTATTTTAAGGTGTCATTATTACAGCGTAATTATATATTTAAGTACTGCGTAATATTAAGCAACTACATGTACTTACTGTAGGGTTAGGGTAGGATTAGGATTTGGTTGAGGGTTAGTTGCATGTAATTATGCATAATTTACTGTTGTTACTATGGTAAGTACATGGAACATATGTAACAAGGACACTGTAAAATAAAGTGTTACCCCTAACTCTACTCTCTCACAGGGTCACATTCGCTATGGGTCTTTGCTACATTTTTGACTGGAGACAGTTCAGTCCCGTTCCCAGAGTTCACTGCAGTTATTATGCTGGATGATATTGTCATCGGCCACTATAACGCAGATGAGAGAAGTTTTGTCCCGGCATCAGCGCAAGATTCTGTTAATGTCACGGAGCAAATGACTATATCAACAGTCTGTAAAGGCATACACGAGGGCATGAAAACCAAAGCATACCACTTAATTGATTACTTCAATTATACAAGAGGTAATTATTCTCTCATAGTCTTGTGTTCCATTCTCTTGAGAGTGCTTGGAAAATAAGTATTTTCATTAAGATCTGTCCATTATGTTCATACACTACCATTCAAAAGTTTGAAGTCAGTAGGATTTTAGTCTAATTAATTTGGCTAATTAATAGGCCTACTTTTATTCTTACTTGTATTAAACGGATTAAAAGTGGAAGTGGTCAAATAATGTGGTGGAATCCTGACAAACTGTATCACGGTTTCCACAAAAATATTGAGCAGTACAACCTTTTTCAACATTGATTTTATATATATAAAATGTATTTTAAATTGTAATCATTTCTCTAAATATTACTGTTTTTGATCATCTCAATTCAGCCTTTGTTAGCATAAGAGACTTCTTTCAAAACCATTAAAAAATATTTTTCACCTTAAACTTTTGATTGGTAGATAACCTTATTGTTCTATCAGTAAATATAGTGTTGTCAGAAAAAATTAAGTAAAGCTTTTTTGCACTGAACTTTGTGCTAATGTCATAACAAGCGTTGCCAGAATTGTGAATTCAATCCTTTCTTAGTGCATCTGAGACTATTTCTTTCCAAGGCCTTCATGTGCAGCAGAGGCTGGTTGGATGTGAACTTCTCAACGATGAGCCCGGCCAAATGATGACTCTGGAGGCCTTTAATGGTGAGAGTGGCTTTGAACGACGCTATAACGTTCAGGGAGACCAACACACTCACTGGAAATGGCCTGCCATAAAGAGTAGAGCACAGCTGGAGTATGATGCATGGCTGTATGCCTACTTTTACCGCCCTTTGTGCATTAGCCAGCTTAGAAAATATCTAAAAAAGGAGAAGAAGCATGTGATGGCAAGAGGTGGCAGTTAATTTAACTTTCACAAATGCAGTCTTAATTGATTTGGATTGGAAAACATGAACTATGTGTTTCCTGCTTAATGTGTTCACTCTTTCCCTGACAGTAAAGCCCAGAGTGAGAGTGATTAAACGCTTTTGTAGTGAGACAGGCGTAGTTCAAATGACCTGCCTGGCAACTGGTTTTTACCCACGTCACATTAATCTGACCCTGCTTCAAGACGACCAGCCAGTTAATGAGGAGAGGATCACGGGAGGAGAACTGCTGCCCAATGCTGATGGAACATACCAGATGAGGAAGAGTGTGGAACTCAGTGTCAAAGAGCAAAGAGAAAGGCACACCTACACATGTACTGTGACTCACCTTGGCCTGGAGAACAAACTTGACATCAGCATAGGTATTAAATCGATAGGACACACACACACACAAATATTGATTGATTGATTGATTGATTGATTGATCGATTGCAGAACCTGGTCCTGATCCTGTTATTGTGGTTCCCTCTGTACTACTTTTGCTGTGTGTGTTTGGAGCTCTGGCTGCCTTTAAAATATGGAGGAAGAGAAATACACAGCCTGAGCAGGTACAGAATCACTGACACTGTTTCACTAATACATAAGATTATATTTATAAGGCATAATCTCTGCTGGCCATGCTTCATAATTGTATATCTGTCTATATTGCAGGTCATCTACATACAAGCTTCAGGTTTGTGTTGTGATCTGCTCAAGTCTAGTTATTGTTATTAAGTGAGTTAAAATATGTACATTTATGAATGTGTGATTTCCTCCCCCCCCCCCCCAGCAGCTGACCAAACAATAGAACAACCGCAGATGTGACATCTGAAGAGGCACAACATTATCTGTTCACATTTACAGAATGGACACATTTTGTATTGATAAACTGACTGACCTGAAAGAAAAAAAAAGTATTAAACAAACAAACAAACAAAACACCCTAAACATCCATTAGCATCCAGAGAAGAACATTGATTAAATATTATAAGAAAATACTTATTTTAAGAGAATGTTGTTTTAATTAGCTACATGTATTTATTACATACATTTTAATGATTCATTTAGGCTTGCAAGGTTGTTGTTTTTTGTTTAAAAAATATTTTCACTGTATTCTTATCACACCCAGATTTTGTCTGTATTGAATATTTCAGTATTTTTTACAATATTTGTAAGTTTAACAAAAGTGTGCATGAGATTCATATTATAACTGCATGTATACACAATGTAACTTAACACCCAACAGTGTATTTAGCATGACTGTTTGCCAGAATGTATTGTCAGCTAATCAACCACCAGAACTCATCAGTATTCATTTAATCAGGTAGTAGGCGAGTACTGTATATTTATTTATTTTTTAAAACTGTTTGAATTTTTAACATTGAGCTTATAAACAAACATTTGTTATATTTTGTCTGTGAATGCATTCATCTCTCGGTTCATACTTTCACTCATATTTGGCACAACTGGCATGTAAATCTGCAGTGCGCATCTCTGCATGATGTCATAATGCAAACCCCGCTCAATCTCAAACCCAGCCCGACGCGCGCGCCACGAAATGTTGTTCTCCGGCGTCCAATCAGATTCCAAACGCACCGCGCATGCGCTGCGTGCGTACATTCAAACAAAATCGGAAAGTGGGCTAAAGGAAAGCGATAGGTGAGTTCGGGCGGGGTCGGGACAATTTAAATATCATCGATGCAAAATGATAAGGAACTATTTGGTCGGTGGTTGCGATATCCTTCCTATATTTAAATATGAGGCATGGTTGCATGATTTAAAATGGCGTCATTGTCCCTCAAGAGCAGACGAAGGGAACTGCTGAAATTGATTGTATTTTTTATTTTTTTTTGCTGTAACGTTAGATCTAAAATGGTGGACAGTGCCTGTGCCCAAATAATTGCTCATGCATGACTCTGGAAAAAATGCCCTCCCTGAAACAGTAAACATAATGCATGGGATGCATTTATAGACACCAATGCACATTTAAGAGATGGTGCAGAAGAATAGCTTATCCTAACCATATGCATTTATGTTTTTGGAAATATGAACAGACATAATGTTTCTTTAAATGACATTCCTACTCTTGGATGTCAAGCTATCAGAACCATTAAATCACATTCAAGCAATACGTCAGCCCTTTATCACTCATTGTATCCCTATCTTTCCATTTTTGCTTTGCAGCCTATTTGTCTTATCCAATATAAGATAAGATGTCCTACCTTGAGTAAAATGCATGGTCAGATTCTGCAATAAAATACCTTATTTTGTTTTTTCCCCCTAGAATGGCTATAGAAAAGGGGCCTCAAAGACACATATCAAGCCTGTCACAAATCCTCCTCATCTGTAGAGGTGGGTGTTGGTGAAATATATCCAACTGGAGCAAGTCGAAAAGACTATGCAATCCACTGTGTTCACAAGTGGAGGACACAGACTGGACACAAGCCTCAGTAAGAAACCAGCTAGAGCCCATGAATCCTTGGCTGGCCTGAACAAGGAAAGCCGCAACATCGCCACAAACGTGCTGAGTACAATCCACAACAGTGTAAATCAAAAGCATCACCTACACAGCCAAGCAAAGATCAGTCATCAGATCGTGTTGAGCTGCCCTGACCAATCTCCAGCAGGGAACCTCAGGCAGGAGGAGAACTGGGAGAAGCCAGAGGCCTTGACACTCCCGTCAACCAAGCAGATGGGGGCCGAAGGTTCCCCGGTCAAGAGCAAATCACTGTTTTGTCAGGCCAAACACAACCACGTAGGGAATATGGATCCTATGGAATCAAATGGCAGCAATCAGCGGAGAGATGGAGGGCTCGTGGGGGTCCCCTCACCAGAGAACAGTCCCGAAGGGAAGCGTAGGAATGTGAGGAAAGGCTCAGGCCTTGTGGACACGCAGACCAGCTGCATCCGACAGATCCTGCTGCTGCAACTGGAATTGATTGAACAGCAGCAGAAGCAACTGCACAACAAGAGCAAAGAGATTGATGACCTTAAAGCTGAAAAAGAGATGGTATGCTAATAGTATTGCACTTTTTCTTCTCCTTTTATGAAACAAAAGCTTAAATCATGTGCATATTTAAATGTTAAAGTGGGCATGTTCATAGTTTCCCACTTTTCTTATTTTGTAACACTTGTTTCACTTGTTCACCTAAACCCAATGCTTAATACACAGCCTAACACAGGTGTGTGTTTGTAGCTAATGGCACGAATCGAACGCATGGAGTGCCGGCTGCAGATGGTGAAAAAAGATGGAGCAGAATCTCGTCCTTCTCAGACTCCTCGTCGTAGGGAACCTGAGGCCGAGGCCACTGCCTCAGACGACGTCCAGCATTCTGAGGGGCGGGTCCAAACCCCAAAGCAAATGCACTTTGGAAGAGGAGGAAAAAACCTGAAAAGGTATGATCATGAATTGTTTTTGTTGAAATATTTTAATAAGTTCCAAACCTGTATGACTTTCTTTCTTCTGCAGAACACAAAAGAAGATATTTTGAGGAATATTGGTAACCAAACAGTTTTGGGTACCATTGACTTCAATTGTATGGACAAAAAAACACTGAGATATTACTCAAAATATCTTATTTTACATGAGGGTGAGTAAATGATGACAGAATTTTCATTTTTGGGTGAACTTTTCCTTTAACATTTGTTCAAACTAATGTGCTGTACCTAATGAAGTTCTTAGCATTTAATTGATACAACTAAATGCATCCTAATTTTTCCCCCTCTTGAAGGAGGTTTCTTTTCCAAGACTCTCGGATGGATAGGTCACAACTTGGGCAGCCCAGGTCACCACAACCACCACCACAGGAGGGCCCAGATCTGAAGGAGGAACCCCAGGAAGAGATGGGGCCTGAATTGTCTCATTCGGAGGACCTGCCCTATCTGGCTACCACAGAGATGTACCTCTGCTGCTGGCACCAGCCGCCACCATCGCCGTGGCGAGAAACCTCACCTGTACATGAGGACACAGTTGCAGGTGGAGAGAAATTTATGTAATCTCTCTGTTAATGATTTGAGTTATATATTGAAAATTAAAGTATATTAAAGATGTTCAAATTTATCATTATTCTCTGTATGTAGTTCCATCCTGGCGGGATAGTATCTTAGAGCCTTTAGGACAGAAAGAGTCGTCAGACATCCCTGAGGTTAGTAAGAACTGTGAGCACCCCAATATGCAATGTTTCATTCAGTGATGCGGTGGGCCGCACAAATTGGGGAGGGGGGAATCTAAATACTTGTTTATAGGGCTGCACAATTTGGCCAGATTTAAAAAAAATGATCTATCGATATAACTATAAAATAATAAAGATTTATTTTTATCATCATCATCATCACTACGATTCGATAAAAATTATATATATATATATATACTGCATATCAAAAGAAAACAAAATAAGAAGTAATACTATTGCAATATTGCTATTTCAATGTTAAAACTGCAGTCCGCAGTTTTTCCTCTTTGTCGCCATCTCTGTTCGAAATATGCAATTGCAGTCATTCGCGGAATGATCAACTTTACGTGAGTTGTACCTCGGCACGGCACAGTGCGGATGAATCCAATGTTTTGAGGAGAATGTGCAGCTGTCAGTCACCGCGCGGTGTGGATACTGCCATTCAGAATCACAGATTCTACTTTTTGGAAGTATGACCAACATAAGAATTTTATCCCTAAAATATCATCTGAACAAGTAAGTAACATCCACTTTTGTTCTGACCAACTAAGGGAAAAAAAGCATTCCAGTAAATCGCGCTGATTAAATCTAACGATCGTTTTTCATATCACGTCAAACCGTGCAAATTATACTTTGTTCTCAAATTGTTAATGTTAACATTTTTAATTGTAAGTCGCTTTGGATAAAAGCGTCAGCTAAATGAATAAATGTAACAACATCAGCATTGCGTGACTAAATTTAAAGCCCTTCAGATATTTATCCTTGTTTTCGCATGGGCCCGGTTGCAGTCTGTTTTTCCAAACTCTCAGTCCAAAGTCTTTTGCATTTTACAACGGGTGAACACTGGTGATTGTCGTTTGAAACCTTTCTGGATCCGCCATCAAATTAATAAGTTTAATTATATCAAGTGCTGTGAGAAAAGGCTATAAATCTCCACCTCCAACATCCTCACACGCAACATAGCTTATAATAGCCGAGACTAGTTCTTTATGTGCACAGATGTGACGTAATGACGCAAAGACATGCTCGAATCTCCCGTGGAAATCCACCAGTACCACTGGAATTAAAAACATTATTACAAGCTTACCGTTTTGAATCGAGCTACGGCAAGCAGATAGTTTTGCTCAGTTGCTAGTTATGTATTTGCTCAATTTATTTTGGATGATTTTTAACCCAAAAAAGTGACGGACTGGAGCTTTAAATAAAAAGTGAAGTATTTAAGAAAGATTATATAATAATGCGTTTTTACTGCAGTTTTGATATTTTACAGCACAACTGTAAAATTACAATACAAATAGGTATGGCTGTCCCATTTTCAAACTTTAAACCTTGAGGCGGAGATATACTCACGGCAAAGTTAGTTTTCATTCTTCGCTTAGGGATTAAACAAAGTTATACATGCGCGATACACTGTTAGTGAACATCCGATGCCGCCCACTCTGCTGAGAGCGACGTTTAGATTAATATGTAAATATGTGCTGCATGCTTTCCTCTCAATAACAAAATAAACACACAACAACATTTTTTGCTAGCAAGCAAGCTTTTTTTTTATAAAGCATTAGAAAAGCATCTGATCATAGCAACATGGATATGTTGCACGAGCTCTGCAATTCGGCACTCTAGTAAAGTCATGTTTATTTATATAGCACTTTATACAATAGATCGTTTTTCATGTTTAACATGGTTAAGCAGCTTGATTTTAATCGGTGTCTGTCAGTGTCTCATTTGATAAGAAGTAAAACTTAATTTTCCACTATAAAGCAGCTCTCCAGTGTGTTGATGTTTTCACTTGGTTTGGTTCGTGGCACTGTGTTCCCAAATGCACATTATAAGCAACCCAAACTCAGAGCATATGAAAACGGAGCTGTATTTTCTGCGAACCGATCCGCTGTGAGATGCTGAAAACACCAAATAATGAACTGCTTTTGCTGCACATATATGCATTTAATTACATTGCAGCTTTTGTGAATTGATAATAGCACTAAGCCATATTGTTTTCATTTTTTTCAATTAATCATTCAGCCCTAGTAATGCATCTAAATACTCATACCTTTCTTCTGTGCAGTGTCTGGATGATAACGTCTTTCTGAAGAGACATTCAAAGCTTGAACTTGATGAGAAGAGGAGGAAGAGGTGATGCTTGTTTGTTTTTTTCTTTTCTTATGTGTAGTGTCCAGTAGACAAGAGCATTGTTAATCTATTTATCCTTTAATCTCATTTCTCTTGTTCAGGTGGGATATCCAGCGTATTCGGGAGCAGAGGATGTTTCAGCGCCTGCAGCAGAGGATGAACCGGAGGGAGGTCATTCAGGAAAGTGAACCAGAGCTGCTCTCCTTCTATCCGGACCTTGAAGATGGTATGTCAGCGGATGGATTCCCCCCCCCCCCCCCCCCCCCCCATGTGCCTTGAAAGTATTTGGTCCTCTCTTTTAATGTGCTTATTTTTTGTGTATTTCCTCAGTGGAGTCTGTTATGGTGACACCCTTTTTGCCAGTGGTGGCTTTTGGAAGACCTCTTCCCAACCTGAAACAGCAGTAATTTAAAAATTGTTTTTGTTTTGCATAATGCCAATTGTGTTTATTTTGATATCTTGATTTAATTGCAATATATAAAAGTAATTATTTGGCTGTATTTCAACAGAAACTTTGACTTGCCCTGGTTGGATGAGCGTAGTCGATGTCGAGCAGAGATGACCAAGAAACGGACGCCTCATCGGACATGTCGCAAATGAAACCATCGTAAGGAAGCTGCTTCTTTCGTACCGTCCTGTGCGCTGAAGCAAAATCTTGCCCTCGTGGTCTCATCTCTCATACTCACCTAGATTGCGGGGGTTCCCTAAAATCCCCTGCTTGGCATCCATAAGAAAATGTGTTTTGCTCTATAATGCCTGAGAAACAAGCTCTCCCAGCCACACACCAATGATCATGATGCTGAATGTAACACTTCAGTGTTTCACTTTCACGACCAAAGCTTACCCTAACACATCAACAGCTGCCGTAAAAAAATATATCAAAACTATGCTGCATTTTTGTTGATTGTGTGCGAGTTCTCTCAGTCCCATAAAGGGAATGAAAAAGTGAAAAATTGTGAAAACCGGTTACTGAAGTCTTTGTTGTAATATAAGGTTTTGTTCAAAGAAAATGTGTAAGATACTTGTAGCTAAAGAAATTATTTCAAATATTAAAATGTCATATTATGGATATGGATGTGCTGTGTCTTCATGTCTTTTGTTTTTAATGACTCATTGTTCTGATTGCTAAATTACAGAATTCTAATTGACCTTTATGTTTTGCTAGAACAAAGTGTAGTGGAATGGGATGCAACTGGAAGCCAGTGGAATGAGATCAGAAGGGGTGCAATGCGGTTTCCTCTTTTTAGAGACATTCTTGTAGTTTAAGAGACTCCAGACACCCACTGAATTTATTTTTAAACGATTGCTGTTCTTTAGGCAATAAATTATGTAGAAGAAAATGTTATATTTTTTCCATAAATTTCATATGCTCAGCTGCAGTGTCTTGGTTCAAAATGCAAAACTGATGCAAACAAATTACATCACTGCAGTCATTAGTTTTAAAAGTATTATAGCGTGTGTGAGAAATGTGTGAAATAAGAGGTAAGTTTTTCCTTACAAAATTAAGTGTAAAAAACAAATAGTACCGCCATGATGCATAATAAAATATACCATAATAAATGGTAACCATATTTGTGTACTGTGGTGCTCCAAGGAACTTCAAAGAGCACAATGGCACCTTTCCAAAACAATATGTATATATTTTTAAAGCTGGCTACAATGGTACTTAAAATGTGCTTCGTACTGAACTATATGTCAAGGCAGTGCCGTGGTGTATTTTGTTCGTTTTTTTATTAATTGTTTTGCCTCAAAAAAAGGTACTGAATTATCACAATTTTTTATCTTGATACTTCAAGATACTGAAAATAAATGGTACTGTACTATTATCATGTACTTACCTCAAAAAAACGCAATGAATGAATACATATTTCACAATGAAAGGAAACCAGTGATGTAACATGGTTTTAGACTTAGAGCCGCATTGTGTTTGTTATTACCAACCAGGTTATTACAGCCCGTGGGATTCACAGAAACGAAACCGCGCAGAAATTAATTTTCTCATTCGTCGTCACGTCACTGACTGAACTGCCCACTTGCGCGCGTCTCCTCATCTGACGCACAAGAGGATATGACGAACTAACGAGCCCCCACAATTCCCCGCGCAGATCCGCTTTCCCTTCCTTGAGAGTTAAGATGGCGGACCGGCGGCGACGGAGACGGCGCGCCTCTCAGGACAGCGAGGAGGAGGACGAGTCCGCCTCGGGCTCCGAGAGCGGGAGATCTTCCTCGGCCAGCCGGAAGCCTCGCGGAAGAGATCCCGAGCCTGTCGAAGTGCCAGTGGAGCGCGTCGCCACCAAAAGAGACGATGAGTCGGAGTGTGTGAGTGTGTGGCTATAAATCTGCTTTTATAATCAGGGCCGATCTGAGTGTGTCCGGGCTGTAAGTGTTTCAATCGCTCTAAACACTTTTAAATCTGGGTTAAAACGTGATATAATCGTAGACGTTTCATGATGTGGGGTTTTCGTCTCCAGCCCTTGATAGATGCTCAAGTGTGTAACGGTCGCCTATTCCTAGTGATTTTACAGGGGGATCCTGTACAATCCCTTATGTGTGTGTGGTTCTGTTTAAATGTGAATGTAGTGCTGATCTCTTTTGACCCTAAAATGACTAGCGTTCCATCATTTAACCCAGTGGTTCTCCATCCTGGTCCCGGGGGTTCCCTTGCCCTGCATGTTTTAGATGTCTCTCCTCTATCTTACACCCCTAACTTAACTCATCAGCTCAGTAGGCTCACTGTTAAGGAGACCCCTGAGATGTCTAGGAAATCCAGGAGCAGGGCTGAGAAAAACGGATCTAACCTGATACTTACTACTTGCATGTAATGGCAAATACATCTGGTTGGCTTGAAGATGCTGCATACGACATTTAGGTTTTTGATCAGCAAACCGGATGACATTTGAGAATCCTAGATATTTGGCTTCTGATCAGGTCTGTCACTCTGGCTGTGCCGTTCTGCAATGAGAAGAGGAAGATCTGCTGACCATGAAGAGGAAGTTCAGCATTGTTTTTAAACTGGATGTTATGAACTATCAAGTTTGCTGTTGTTGGTAATTTTTGGGTTGGAGATGTAGACAAGGCTTTTGTTGATTAAGTGTGCTTTGTTTGGCTGGATATTTGATTCTGATCTCTTTCTATTAAGGAAAGTGAAGATGGCGTTGGTGAAGGTGAGTGTATATCTTTCATTTCTTTTCTTTTTTTTGTGACCACAAGCTTTCGCAAGTATCTGCTTTCAAATTATGCCTGTAGTCCAATAGGTTCATGAACTGCTACCACTTTAGTGTGGATCTGTGATTTCATGTTATTAACTGTCACCCTTGATGCCTAGTTCTCTAGTCATATGTTATTTGCTCTCAGAAATGAACAGACTTGCTGAAATGGCTGACTTCTTTTCTTCAGCAGTGCTATCAGACTATGACAGTGCTGATCTGGAGGAGAATGGATCGCACACGGAGGTAAGTCTCTATGGCAACACAGTTTAGGGGGGGGGACTCTCTCAATCAGTTCTGTTAAAGACAATGGCGCGATGAATCCGCACAGGTCCAGACTGGGCTGTCAGACTGCTTGCTGGGGTGTGTGTGGGGGTACAGAATGTGTCCATTACAGGCAATCTGTTTTTTTGCTCAGTCGTTGTGAGAGCACTACCCTTTCTTTGTGGAGAATTTGGATTTGAGGGTGTGATTATGGTTTAATTTAGTCGTTTTAAATGTGAAGCTGGAAATGGACCTGCCTAATTTGATTTAGAAAGAACTGATTTAGAAGAGACACAGCTGGGGGAGATTTTCGTAAGCATTAAATGTGGTTTGCTCCTCTCTCGGGGCATTATGAGTGCTGCCAATGCCGAGCCCCATGCTGTTAGTGCATCTGTAGTCCTCGTCTAATTTTAGTAGACCTGGAATGATGCACCATCCACACTTTTTGCTACTCTTCATCCTTATGCAAGGAGCATTTTGATGATTGCAGGACTTGTCATTAGGTAATTTAGGCATATTAGAGAGTGCTCAGGTTCATTGGTTGTGGCACCTGGCGGGTGGTCTTGGATGGGGTTGTAGATCTCAGCTCATCCGGTTCAGTCTTGGATGCTGATGTTCGCTCCACTTTGTTTGGTGTCCTAGCAACCCGATCGTTCAGACAGACCTACGTAAAGCTGGCTTTCATTCACTGCAGACAAACACCGACTGCTCGTGGTTTCAGAACGCTGTGTTTAGGGGAGATTTCAAAACTGGAACAACCATGAAAAATGTGCATTTCTTTTAAGTTGGGAATGATTTTGTTTTGTAATAACATACGGTATACCATGTCTTGTGGTGCAGATACTATATAAATAGTGAAAATAAACACATGAGATCAAGAACGTTTTGAAGTATTTAATTGACTAAATTCCTTAAAAATAGAAACGTGTATATATATATCGTCCACCCCTATTTCTGATTCAGTGAAATCAATTGATGATAATATTTCTCAAAAACATTTATTTAAGTACTATTTATTGGATTTAGCGTTTATTTTTATATATTTAAGTTTTATTATTTTTTTATGTGCTTTTGTCATTTCTATTTAGATTTTTATTCCAGTTTTAGTCATTTTGGTACTTGAACATATTTCACTTAGGCAACATTTCTAATTGAGTTTTTTTTATATATTTATATTTTATTTCAGCCTTGTTCAATTAACAAAAAACGTTTAAAAATAGGTTTTCATTTTTCTAATGGAAATTTTTTGTATTTTTTTTTTCTGGTTCAAAAAATGCTGATATTTTTCTTCTGTTATACTTTATTTTAAGGTTGCGCTTGTTACAGTGTAATTGCACTAAGTACGGAGTAATATAAATTGACAATGTGTTCTTTTTAGGGTTAGTTGCTTGTAATTATGCATAATTTACGTTTGTTTCTCTTGCAAGTACATGAAACGTGTAACAAACACACTGTGAAATAGTGTTACCATTTGTTCTTGTAGTTTTATCGTTTTGTGGTTCTAAAAATTGTGAATGTACTTTAATGGAGATTTGATGTGCAGTGTGAACATTTTGACCTGGGAATTTGGCGTTTGTGTTCCTCTCAGGGAGGAGAGGATGAGGAGGAAGGAGAGCATTTTAGTGACGACGAAGCCTCACGTCCTGCTGCTGAACCGAAGCCCGCTGCAGATGCCCCGACAGAAGAGCTTGTTGAAGCGGAGGAGAGAGATGAAGAGGTCAAGGAAGTTAAAACAGATGAGAAGGAGAATCTAGCCGGGGAGCGACAGAGTGGGGATGGACAGGTATGGAAGAACAGAGCATTGCATTTTTTATAAACGATATAGGATGAGGCAATACCGTTTATGTTAATATACAGTAGCCTAGCGAAGGACACAGAGTGAGCTGCTGCGAAGGCCTTCAAAATAACTCGTAAGATATAGTTAATGTGTATAGATTCTCTGACAGATACATGTGCTATGCATTTGAGATGTTTTCCTCAGTGCATAACTTGCATTTCACAGGTAGATTCTCCATCTGTAAATGTTAAAGTCTCCACTAAACTTCAGACTTTAGTGAACGAGCACCATATTTGTTGTTAGACATTAAATGTGCCATATGTAGAATTGTAAACCTACAAATAAGTGTATTTTTATGACAGCAGTAACTGTAAAGTAACTAATGGAATGGGGTTATGAAATGTAGGCTAATATTCCTAAGCTCAGATGAGTGAATGTATTCCTCTTACCTGTTAACATTTAGTCTGTGCTTTTGTTTTTTAGTTTCAATTTTAATTTACAATCTAAAAACAAAAATAATACATTTTAAAGCAGAAGTTATAATTACTAATGTTGTTACAATAGAATGTAATGTGATTTTAACCCTTTTTTGCACATATAGCATAGCATAGATGGTTTTACATTCACTATATTTGCTTTCATAGCCTTCAATATAAACCTTGTTTGTAGGACAATATTGAGCAGAATGTCAAAACTTTATTTTAAAAAAAAAATCGTGTCACAATTTAAAGCAATACAAAAATGCAACTATGTACTGTGGATAGTGAGAATCTGTATTGGGTATAGTTCACCCAAAATGAAAATTAAGTTGTGGGAATTTTTTTTTTT